TACACGACGCTCTTCCGATCTAGCCGGACCCCTCGCAGCTGTGTCAAACAGCAGCTGTTAGTTTGGTAACTGACAAGTCCAGGAGACATAAACAGGAGTCAAGTCATGGATACTTACTTGTACCGATGAAGTATAGCCAAGAAGGCTCTACCGTCCCGCCAGGAGTTGGAGAAGTCTCTGATTTGAACACCGGGGTAGCCATCAGTAACGGCACGGCACCATGCCAGGAGATTACGCTCAGAAGTTTCGTCAAGCCACAGACTCCGTGTCGAACCACTAGCCTTGGTGGGCAAAGTGATACTCTCACAAAGAGAGTTATCTATTGCAATGTTGACACCGGAAGGAAGATGAAATAGTCCCGAAAGCTGTGTCGAACAGATAAAGGCAGAAAAAAACATTATCAAAGGTCAGCATTAGGCGCTAGTATTTACAAATGCCTCCTACTACACAACACGAGCTATACTTCATGGATATGGTAGTAAAATTATCCTAACTAAGACATAACAAAAAGGCTTAAACATAGTATTAATTGTACAAACCATTGACTTATCCGCTGGTGAATGAATGGATGCCAAAACGCCAGTCTTCATAACGAAGAGGGCAAAAAATGAACGAAAATTAGGCCGCGGTAGTCAGGATCCAACCGAAATCACTTTCGGGTTATAAGTGTTCAGAAAGTTGGCTGAGCTAATCGAGCCGGGCGAGGTGAGTGCAGATATTGTAACCAATCCGCACACAGGCCTGGACGATTTGCCACCGTGGCTACTTAAGCGCGAATCAATCAAATCAGGGCGTTAACGCCCAGACAGTGTCGTTAAACAAGGCACCAGAACATGAGATTGTTAGTTAAGTGAAATTACAAAAAGACCGGTGCTTGAGATATGAGATCACGCCAAACTAACATAGGCTCAAGCCCTACTTTCCGACACCCCTGGATTTTTAGTCACAGTGGCCTGATCCGGGGCCTAAGGCCTAGCAAGAGCGTACCAAAAACGACCTGACGCCTGTAGAGCCGATGAAAAATCTTAACTTTATCCAAATTATGAACCGAAGAAAACATATAGGAAGCAATTAGTTGTTCGTTTCAGCCCAAATACATGAGTATAGGAATAGTCAGAGTAACGGCAAGTAAAACTTGAAATTAGTCGTCAAGGTGTGTTTAGATAGCATTTAACATAGCAAATAGAGGTATAAACATAAGAACGTGTATAGAAGCTTCTAAATTCGTCAGTTACTGATTCGATAGTTCAAGATCATTTACTGAAATTGAGTGTTGAATAAAAAAGACTCTTTATTTTTTATACTCCAGGCTATCCGAGAAATGTAGAATATATTATTTAAGAAATGGACATAACAAATTGTACCGATTGTTTTTGCAGGTATTAGCTGGGTCAGAGGCTAAGGACCACAAGAAGAAAATAAGAATCTAGGTGACAAGAATACACTGCTCAGTGCGAATATTTTACTCTAACACTCCCTCAGACGAAATTTCCTCTATTTGTTTCTTTCGATCCCCACTTGTAACAAGAATTGGCTCTTTCTCAATTCTTCTTGGGATGAAAAGTGAAAAGGGGGAAATTGAGAAATCTGAGAGTAGGAGATAGTCTTCGGTGAGACTGATGACAGAACTGTTTTTTGGCAACTTCTTTGCAACTAAAAACGTTTAAGGAGTGTTCTTCAACGTCGGGACGAAAAGCTAAATAAGCTGCTCGTATCTGGCTAGCAGCTCAGGCCTGT